CCAGGGGCCCAGTGCCCAAGGCTCATACTATGCAATTGAATACAAAGCGAACCCACGCCTCTTCCCATTAGGGTTGGAAGAGCCTCAACCACTGCTCCCATGTAGACAGCTTCCCTATTCAACATGGATATAACACGGGCAAGGGGCATTGATTGCTTCCCAATAAGGAAGGATTAACCCCGCACCGTGCAGACTCAAACTCTGCCCTGCTCAACTTGACTAAATCTACTCAGGTCGTCCTGCACCGTACACACTGGGGGGGGAGTAGTAGCAGGGTATAAGAGTTTAACTAAAACGAAGATCCCATCCAACCCATTGGTAATTCATTCTGTAATTAGGCTCAAAAGATAACAAAAAACGTGTCTCCCTAGTGTAACCGTGATTAGCACAATCCCTTATCCAATGGGTCGAGATCAAACAGGGAGGGGAAATCAACGTCCACACCAAAGCACCGCAATGAAGAACGGATTCCCATCAACCAAGAGTTAGCTTATCAGATCGAAGCACTCAGGTGTTAACAAAAAAATGAAATCGAAGAGCAGATCAGGACGGGTCCCGTACACATGAAGTCAATGAAAATTGAGACCGACCCGATCCAATTCTGGCAATTGAAATTGTAGTGGTGTAAAAAAACGGAATCGAAAAAGAACATGACATCAGGACGAGTCTCATACCATGAAATCAATACAGATCCAGACCGCCCCAATCCAATCCGAACAGTTCAAACTGCAGCCCATCAGGGTAAGCAAGGAGGGGGGGCCAATCAATGCTTGAACAAATCGACCTCCACTGCGGTTGAGCTCCATGTAGGGTTGGGACGCGCAACCTCACGCCCTGTGCTGTCTTTCGTTTGGAGTGTTAGGCGTGCGGAAAGAGGCCCAAAAAAACAGCAAGATGGGGTGTGCCAAGGATTTTTGGGAATTGAGTATGGGGACACTCATGGAACTGAAATCCCCCGTGTTGGTCCAATGAAGCAAGTCGATTGCTTTCGCACGTCGCGGAATGCGCGCGCGCGCACGGCGCGAAAAAAGAAAAATCCAAATTCAATCCAAAAAGTATTGTCGGGCTTCCCACCGGGCTACAGCTCGTCGTTTAGAACGGAAAGGCTTTGGCACGCTCCACGTGTCTCGTTTTCGTATCAAATCTCGTTGTCGTTCGATGGTCAGTTCCGAATCCGACGTGGATGGTCTCAGCCGCGTGGCTCTTTCTTTATGCTCGTCTTCACTCCGCACACGGTAGTGGAACCCCTGGATTCGTAGCGCTCAAAACGCTGGCATTCGGTGCATAGAGTGCGCGGCCAGTGGGGTTCTACTGCCGTCCACGGGATGACGATCAACTCGTTGAATGACAACAATATCGAGTAAGGTGGGAAAGTGCGTATCGATAATGACAAACCCAACCTCTACGAACCCTGAACAACGATTTGTCGGAGGGAAGTAGTATCGTCCGCGGATTTGTGCAACGGCTTCTCGTACGTCCCACTCACATACACGTGTCCTTCCCTCGTTATAGGGAAAAAAAAAGGCCGTGTTGGGACGGGAGTTCCGGGAGGCTGGTGCTCGACCGGTGGGTACTGGTCAGTCCACATATCAATCAATTGTAAAGACCTTGCGACGTCATCAAAAAAAGAAAACACTCGCGCAACTCATAAACAATCTCCTTCAACACGAGAGAGAGAGAGAGAGAGAGAGAGAGAGAGAGAGAGAGAGAGAGAGAG